TAGGCAGTACGGTAAATTCATTATTATTTTTAAAACTGCGCATCGTTGAGATTAAACCAAGACAAGCGGCTGTTTCGTCGGCAACACCGTACTGTGCCGCCGCGCGCGTCCCGGGCAAACTGCGCAGCGCGCGGATCTGCCTCAGAACGGCCGGCTCCCCGTCCCCCGATGGTTTTTCCTCTTTCACGCCTTAAATATTGATCCCACAGAAAAATTCATAAGAACCATTTTTGTTCCTGATAAAATTGCCTATCGTCCTGCTTAAAAAAATTTACGCTAACATTAGCCGTTCAGTAGTTATTCAAAATTCAAAATTTGGGGGCCCCCCTGCCCCCCCAGGGGGCTCAGATTTTTGGGGTCTATGTCTGAATCGAATGTCTATAGGGTAGAGATGAATCCCTGAAATTTTCATGCTTTCTTCCAGAAGTGCACGATTCTTATGATATTTTCCACTTATCGGCCCCACTAAATAGTGTACCGGGATACTCATTAGCTTGTACCGGGTCGTCAAACGCCCACCTTGCAATTCCCATTTTATAATGTCATAGCCATCGAATCCTAACAGTATCTAGACAATATGTATGCATTTCACCCACAGAATAGCTAACAAATGATCAATGTTATAAAAATGTATCATTTACACCAGTGTGAATGTTACCGTTGAGTAGAAGTTATAAAATATTAGATAGCATTGTCCATTGGTCTATAAAGCCAATTTGAAAACAGGTACCTTGCGATCTGGTTTTAAAATTTCTTCACTTCCAGTTGCATTTTTCAAACATGTACTGAAAGCAGGGGAGTTCATTAATCATGAAAATCTTGGATTCGTGGAGATGATATATATATATCGATCTTCCTTATTTTATTTTTAAAGTACAGTATATGATGACCGTTCTTCAGCATGTTCCAAACTATCTTATATCTCGATACTTTTTCTCCCTTACAATTTCGACCTTTCTATTACTATTATAGTAGGTATACATTTATGAACTCATAAAACAGTGGAAAATTAGACTCACGAATATTAACTAGAATTTACCTCGGTCCATGATATTGGCGTCCATGATTTTTTGACCCTGGTTTTTTGACCCTGTAACAAAGTTTCAATTGCTATTAAAGTAGTGGGCTATATTTGGGCCAAAAGATGTCTCAGAGGCAAAAGACCCTCCATTGATATCCCAGTAGAAGCTTTAGACTTCAACATTCAACTGTCCACCTTCCTACTAGGTCGATGGTAAACAACGTGTTGGGAGTTTTGTTTCGCAAAAAGAACCTATGTTTGGGAAACTTGTTTGGCTCATGACGTCATCCGAGGCCCATCATCCGCCTAATTGGTAAGATAACGGTTGCCTCCTTTTATTTGTCCATAAGGAAATGTTGAATCCCCGAAAGTAAAAGCTTCTGCCTGTTGCTATGAGACCAATGGATGGTCTCTTGTCCCTGAGATGTCTACAGAGCTTTTTGAAATGGCTGCTGACATTGCTGAATACCGCATCCCCGTGGATTAAAATGTTTTTTCGCCACTAATGGGAAACTACAGAAACGTGTGAAATCCTACTTTGACGATTTTAAGGTATGCAATTTCAGCTTATTCCCCATTTTCAGTGGCACCGAGGAGTACTTGTTGTTCGACACAAAATTATTTTTGGAAAATATTAGTAAGTTTTCTTTATCCCCAACAGCTTTGACCGAGGAATGCATTGTACCTATAATTTTATTTGCAGATTCGTGAAAATGTAATTATACATGGGAGAGGAATGATTCAGAAACTTTGAATCATGAGAGTTGGAACAGTTTCCAAATAAATCCTCGTCCAGTTAAATTGTTACAAGATGAATAATTTACGATCGCCAGTTTTGTTCAGAATTTTCTTATACGAATTTTCAATACTCAGCTGTATAACATTCAATTTGGAATATTTCGATTGAGTCATAAATCGTGATCGTGGTATGTTCAAAACATAGTATATTCTTTTGAGTAAAATTTCTGATAATGGAGAGTTCAGATAACGCACCCGCTAGTTTGGTAATTTTATTTTATTTATAATTTATTTATTTTTTTAAGGTCACAATTTTTTCTCAATTAACCGGAGAAAAAGATGGAACGGAAAATTTAATGGATTAGTTAGTATAGCATGTGACTTCAAAAAAGTATTCGTTAATTTGTAAATTCTGCAATTATTAGACACGAAAATTGCATTTAATAACGCGACGGATGGTTTTATATCTAATAAAGTGATAACGAAAGAGATACGTTCTACTTGGCTAAAAACTTACAATCTACTACTTGTCCAATTCTTTCTCCAACACCTGCTTTACCTCCATTTTTACCTAAAAGAAAAGATAGCTTTGTCAATAAAACAGATTTTTAAATAATAAAACGGAAAGAAAATAAAATGAGTTGTACACTTAAGTGAACGTGCAAAAATTGAGAGGGCTTTTTAATAACGAAAGAAAATGTGACACCGTCGAAACGGAAAGAAAGAGGCTTTGTTGTGCTCAAACATGTTGCCTCGCAAACATTTAAATCGATCCAGAGATCGATTTAAATGTTTGCGAGGAGAACTCGGTCTGTTATTGTAGAATAAATTGCTAAAAAAAAACAGTTAAATGAAAAATGAAACATGCAATACCTGCATTTCAATGCAAAAATTAAACGCTCCGTGTCCTAAAAAAACAGTTTCAATTAGTTTTATACGATAGTGTATAAAATCTTTTACCAAGTGTAACGCTAAAACAAGCGGGAAAGTTCTAATACTGTCGTATTAGAAAAGCGCTCAGGTGTTAGTAAATGTGTTTAGTGAAGAAAGGAAGTATAAACTCCGTCGACTTGGCTGGGAAATGGAAATAAAACATCAGCTGATAGCAAACAAAGGTTACCAAGGAAACCGTAAACGCGTTTTTTCGTTTCCCGAAAATGATAACCACCGTTGAGCTCATCAGGCGCGTTTTTTTTATGCTTCATTTAAGTTCAACGATCAAAACGCAATTTAAGGTAATTAAATTTGACCGTTTAAATTGGTTTTTTTTTAACTTTTCCTGAAATTTGGGGACTTGCCCAACGTAATGTTGAACTGATTTTGACCTTACTGAGATAATGTGGAGCCAAATCTAGGGGAAATTGGCTTATTTCGCGGGAAAATTGAATGACCTTTGAATTGACGTATTTGGGGTCCGAACCCCCCCCCCCTTAAAATTAGTTCGAAGTGATTTCTGCAATTTTTACAAAAAAGCTAACACAATCAGTAAAATTTCCCGTTTTATTTTTTTCTTTACGATAATTTGAACCGGAGTTGTGATTTTTTGAAAATAGGTCAAATTTGACCTTTGATCCTATCATAACTCGGTCAAAAATTAAGATATTGATCTGCGGTTTGCGCCAAAATTCTTAGTTTTTTATGGTCTTTCGAATGAGGTATCACAAGATAGGGGTTGCCATTTGAAAAAAAAGTTGGGGGCCTCCCGCCCCCTCCCTTAGGGGGGACCAAAATTTTGACTCCCCCATAAGATGGTCCCCTTTGAGATAGGAACATTTCCAAAGTTTCATTTTTCTATCTCGAACCGTTAAAAAGTTAGCCGACCGTCCTGGAACTTCTGGCCCACCCTGTATAGTCTCCTCCACGATGAGAGAAAGTTTATGAAGGGGTAATAATGTAGACAAAAGACCAACCCAATAAGGTATATGTAAGTGATACTCTTGTGAAGTCATCGACGGTTGATGTGACATGCACTAAGGAATCAATCGTAATATCAGTAAATAAAAAACAAGCAGTGAAATCCAACACAATGTGTTGATAAGGCGCGTCATTAACTCGCACATATCAACCCCTTTAGTTTTCATTTACAGAGATTTCAAAAAAGGCAAGCAGCACAACAAGAGAATTCACGATCCAACACTGCGAGGTCAAAGACGCACCTTGACGAGACCGTGTATTGTGAAAGTAGAAAGCTATTCGATCGAATTTAAGTTTTTTGATCTGCCTCAAGCAAAATCTTATCAGATTCTTGAAGAAAAGTGCTACGGAATAATTTAAGCGAAGAAAGGAAAAATTCTGTCGAACTCCTAGAAGATAAAGTCGATTTAAAGGTATTTTGGGGCTAAAATACCCAAATCACCGGTAGTAAAAATCCCGTTATATTATTGAAAAGAAATTGACTCGATATAAATGCAATTGCATTAAATACGTCTTGATTTTGTTATTTTAAACGTCTTTCCATGCAAAGAAGTTCAACCATGTCGTTGCTTTATTCATTCATGAATTGAAAGTAAGCAATCTACATCCCGAAAATCTACTGATTTGCCGTAAAAAATTGCAGAAACTTGATATACCAGGTCGATGCACCCACTCGTTGAATTTACCAACCAATTTTGTGAGTGCAAATGTGTAAGAATCAATATGCTATAGTCATTTTGGGTGCA